ATTCCAAAATCAGTTGCAAATTTTTGGCTGATATTCCATTGAAAAGTATGTAAGTATGTCAAACAACTGCAATTAAGTTTAGAGTCGACTTTATTTTCACTGACTATAAATACGTCCCTTTGTAAGTATTCAAAATGTGCAAGACAACCAAATGCTGGAAATTTTTTTTCTATTACTGCTATAACGGCATTGAACTTTACAAAAGAAAAATCATGGAAAACAAAACGAAAAACAGCTGTAACGATACAAATATCGATAAAAATAACGATAGCAGCAGAAAAAAAAATTTAAAACAATAATTAATAAGAAAAAGATCAAAAAATTAAAAATAAAAAATCCAACAAAAAAATTTAATAATGATTCTGCAGGGATTTTGGAAAAAAAGTTGTAAGAATAAAATTTTCGCAACCGAAAAAAATTCAAATAACGACCATTTTCTATCCCGGATTAAGGGAATATTTTTTTTATGAAGTGCTATTAATTTCCTGCTGCTGATTTTATTTGGAAAGCTTTCTTCTGTAAATAATATAACGGCGTGGTAGGTAGTTGTAAGTGAAACGGTAACTAAAGTGTATAATAAAGTTAAATGATAACGATGAAAATATCAATAACAAAATCGAAAGCTATAACTATGACCGTAGCGATCGTTTCCAATTTCTTGTGAATTAAAATACAATAAAAACAATATAGTTCCAAAATATTTTTCAGCAAAATAAAAATAACCATTATTTTCAATATAGAGTCATAAAATATCGAACAAAATCTAAAAAAAAAAATTAAAACTACAAAAAAGAACGCGAATGGTTAAAAACACAAAGCAAGTACGATTGGCAATCTTTTAACAATTTTATGAATAAAACTTTTGCAACCGAAAAGATCAAAATACTATTTTTTTTTCTTTCCTTGGTTAAAAGGAGCTTATATACAATACCCTCTTTCTGCAATTTTCACAAAAACTACTTTGTGATGTTAGAACCCATCTGGGGCTTATCTGTCACCACTTATGTTAATTATGACTTTGCAATTCTTAATTCTGTAAATTCTTCTGTCAAGCGTTATCTAAACAAGGATTTTTATATCAGAACCTAATTTTTGTGAAAAATGCTGATAGAGGGTATGGTTTATAAAATTTAACCAAATGTTTATTTAATAATATATATATGTATATATTTTAATATTGTCTGTATTCCAGAAAGTTACAATATCTTTTTATGAATAACAGAAATCAGAGAAAATAGAAAAATCAGAATTTGAAACACGAACTAAATGAATTCTTGAAATTACATATAGTAAAGTATAAAAGGACTAAGTGGTGATACCACAATACTTCCCTTCCTCAATAAAGTGTGTTGAATGCTGGTTTTAGTCTATTTATAGAAATGTTTTTGTTTTTTCCATCAATATCGATCAAAAAATAATCTCGTTCTCTTGAAAAGACCTTATGTGGCCCCGAATAAGGCGATTGGAGTGCTGTTAGTAATCCTTCTTCTCTCACAAAAACGTGAGTTGCTTTCTCCAAGGTTTTATATACAAAATGTTTGCACTTAGAGTGGTTTGATCCATTAACAGGCTTAATATCCCTTATCTTTTTCTTCAAATGTTGTACAAATTCAGTATGCAATGCTTCGGATGAATCCTCAAAATACTCCCCAGGTAAGCGTAATGATGAACCAAACACTATATCACATGGTGCTAACCCAATATCTTCTTTAACACTGCATCTTATTCCCAATAGAATACTTGGTATCATCTCCGTCCATTTAGTTTCCCCTTTACAACGTAGAGAAGCTTTTAAAGTTCGATGAAATCTTTCTACTAAACCATTTGACTGGGGATGATATGCTGTAGTACGTATATGTTGTGAACCAATGAATCTAGCTAGTTCATTAAACAGCTGCGACTCGAATTGTTTTCCTTGGTCCGTAGAAATTCTGAGTGGTATTCCAAATCTACAGATCCAGTCTTGATAAAATGCTTTGGCTACCGTTTCAGCTCTTATATCTTTGAGAAAAATTACTTCAGGCCATCTTGAAAATCTGTCAACACAAGTTAAGCAAAACCGATATCCATTGGAAGGGGGTAAAGGGCCAACTATATCTATATTTACATGGTCAAACCTCTTTTCCGGTAATGGTGGGGACTATCGGTTTCTTAATTCCAAAACAGTTCCGGATCGTTATGCTCTTCCTAATATAAGGGATTTCAACGCAAATCTTAGCGGGAGCTCAGTTTTTTCAAAGCTTGACCTAGTTAAAGCATTTCATCAAATTCGCATGAAAGAAGAAGATATTAAAAAAACTGCTATTATAACTCCATTTGGTCTTTTTGAATATACCCGAATGCCATTTGGTTTACGCAATGCTGCTCAGTCAATGCAGAGATTTGTCGATGAAATCATCAATGGTTTTCCTTTTGTGTTTGCTTACATTGATGATTTTCTAATTTTTTCTAAAAATGAAGAAGAACATAAAAAGCATTTAGAAATAATTTTTGAACGCCTTAAAAAGTTTGAAATAACCATCAATCCTGAAAAATGCGAATTTGGTAAAAAGGAGTTGGAGTTCCTTGGATTCATAATTAACTCGGAAGGTGTACGGCCATCACCTAAGAAAGTGGAAAAAATCTTAAACTATGAGAAACCAAAAGATTTACATCAATTGAAAAGGTTTCTCGGAATGATAAATTTTATAGAGTATATGTTCCAAATATTGCAGTGCTTCAAGAGCCATTGAATGAATTTCAACGAAATTCGCCAAGTAAATACAAGAAAATAGTATGGACAGAAAATCAATCTAAAGCGTGATCAATATCACGTCGGGGTCACCAATTATGGTTTATAAAATTTAACCAAATGTTTATTTAATAATATATATATGTATATATTTTAATATTGTCTGTATTCCAGAAAGTTACAATATCTTTTTATGAATAACAGAAATCAGAGAAAATAGAAAAATCAGAATTTGAAACACGAACTCAATGAATTCTTGAAATTACATATAGTAAAGTATAAAAGGACTAAGTGGTGATACCACAGAGGGTATTGAATATAGGCCCTCGATATGTTTATCTATAAATTTCTTGCTTAAAAAGAAAAGCAAACCTAGTTTTTTCAATAATTTTCTATAAACTTCCTGCTCCCCAAAAAAAAATTAAATAGAAAAATATTGGATTAAAATATTGTGTATTCTATAAAAGTTCCTAATACAATTAAAAGAGAAGCTATTTTTCATAATTTTTTATCAAAGTTTCGAGAAAATCGTTAAATAATTTTTTTTTTTTTAACTTCCTTCTTAAAAGAAAAGATGCTAAATTTTTCCGCCACTAAATTCATTTCTGAACTTATCAAAAAATAGGAAAAAATTCTTCAAAGTATATATTTTTCTCTAAATTTCCTACTAAGAAGGAAATTAAAGCTAGATTTCATTTACAAACATTTTCCAATAATTTTCTACTGGGTCAACCTACGCTGTACGAAAAAGCGCTAATTTTGTGTCAATAAATAAAACAGCTCCGCAAAAAATAGTTAGATTTTAATTAGAAAAAAGATTATTTTCTTATATGTTAAAAAAAAATAGATAAAAAATCCTCATATAAAAAATGTTTATTTTAATTTCCTACGAAGCCGATTCCGCTGCACGAAAAATAACCGTTATTTTCTACCCCTGATTAAAATAGAACAGATGAAAAATTATTAATAAAAAAATGTTTTCCTATTAAATGCCTACAGGGTTGGCTTTCGCTGTCTCACAAAAACCGCTTATTTTGTGTCACTCATTAAAATGAAGCATATTCTTAATTTGTATACATATTTAAAAAAAAAAAATTTCTTCTACATCATTTCTTACCGGGGCGATTTCCGTTGTCTGAAAAAATACAGATTATTGTCTGAATATGTTTAAAATATAACAGCTAAAAAATATTTAAATAAAAAAATGTTTTTTTAATTTCCTACAAGGCTGATCGGTTGTCCAAAATTAAAATAACGGCTGTTTCCAATCCTGATTAAAATATAAGCTGGAAAATTCTTAATTAAAAAATATTTTTTATGAAATCCCTGCGGGATTGATTTTGCCGAAAATTAAAAAAAAAAATTTGATTTCCTACTGGGTAGAGTTTGACTGTCCGAAAATATTACCGGTTATTTTCTGCCCTAAATAAAAGAGAAAAGCTAAACAAATTATTTAAATAATATAAGTGAAAACTATTTCAACTTCCACTGGATCAATTTCAGCTGTCTGAAAATAAAAACGATGATTTTCTACGCCAACTAAAACAAATCTTCCTAAAAACATTTAATTTAAAAACCAAAAACAAATTCTTGAATTTCCTACTGGGTCGATTTTTGTTGTACATATGCGGCATGCAAATTTTGTTTGGGTTTTAAAAATAGACAAAGAAGTTCATTGTTTCCACAAGGCAATGTGCTGAGTGGATCGAGACGAATTTGTCGCCTGGCATTGCAACATGACGACAACACAAACAAGAACATGGGCCACTAGAGCTTAAATGTGCGTACAAAATGTTAACAAATGTTTTGCGGTAAAAATAATATAATTACACGTAGAAATAACAATTTAGAATAGCGGCGCGTAGAATTGTATGTACATGTGTGTGTTTTAGAATGAGTGTGAATGCGATATTAGTGCCAGGTTTCGGCACATGCATGCATGTACCCAACTTAATCAAAAACTTCATGCGAAGACTCTGCGTCGATGTGGCAGCCTCCAAAAGTGGCGGCAAAAAAAACTAAAAACAAAAATTTCATAATTTTGCTTCACTTTATACACTTCTCAACAATCACTAATGCCACAACAAAATACATTTTGAAAAATAAAATAAATATGTAAAAGATTATCAATTTGTCAATATACAACACGTTTTATACTGATTTTTCAAATAATAATAATAAGGAAGCAACCAAACTCTATTTCTCCTCCATTTTTTCTTCCCTTTTATCTCCCATCCTTCGCCTTTCACCATACAACCAACTGCAACAGATAACAGCAACACAATTGCGAACTCGGCGGATCCCTATCTGGATGCACCCTCCGAATTGGCGCCGTGCCCCGTCTGTCGGCGCACCTTCAATCCGGTTACGCTGCAGAAACATGTGGGCATCTGCGAAAAAATGGCGGCCAAGAAGCGCAATATCTTCGATTCCTCACGACAGCGACGCGAAGGCACCGAACTGGCTAGCTATCCGCTGCCGAAAAATTTCGGCTTGCCAGCGGCAAAACAGGAGCCGCGCGGACAATCACCGAAGCCGCTGCAGGTAAGTGTGCGGCATTGAACGAAAATATTTAACTATTCAATGCATTAACAATGCCCCTTCTCTATCTGCAGCACATTGCCTCCCCCATACTGACGCGTAAGAAGTCGAGCGGCGGTGAGGATTTGGTGCGCAGCACAGCGCGCGCCTCCATGCGGAAATTGGCAGCAAGCGTCGGCACTGCAAACAGACAGTCGCCCAGCGCTCACAGTGCAGCAGCAACAAACGCCGGTGGTGGCGCCTCTAATCACACTACACCCAACAGTCAAATGAACGCATCGACATCGTCGACCACATCGCTTCCCGGCGCTGGCAGCTTTACACGCGATCGCATGCGCTCGTCCGACCGTTCACTGGCCAAGCGCATACAGCCACCGCCGGCCGAACAGTGTCCACATTGTGAGCGCTGTTTTGGCCCGAAGGCCTACGATCGCCATGTGGAGTGGTGCAAGGAGAAGGCGCTGCAGGCGTCTATCAAACATACGACAAAAGGCGAACAAAACTTGGCCAAAGAGCGACTGGAGGCGCGCACCAAATACCGGGCGCCATGTCTCAAGTAAGCGTTGAAATTTCAGTACAATTGTATTGTATTTTTCCCCCCAAATTTTTATTCACTCAATTTGTCAAATGTTGTGGTAAAATAATCGGGAAAGAAGCAAAAGAAACAAGTTTGCCAACCGATGAGGGCAAGATAGCAAAGTTAAAATATTTGTTTTTATACTTTTTTACGATTTTTTTACCAACGTTTTCGAACAGAAAATTTAAACAAAAAGAAATGTATTAATTGGCGATATTTTTGCAGAACTAAGCGTTCGATTAATCGTGACAAATACGCGGGCTTGGCTGGCGATGAGTACGAAATCGGCGATAGTCTAAAAACCGGATACGGCAGCCATAACAACAGTAACAGCAACAATAACACAAACAACAATACAAGCGGAAGCCTACAAAACTGTGAAGGTAGCAACGATAACAGCAGCAACAACAATAATAACAGCAGCGGCAACAATAACGCTAACGGCATTATGTCACTATCGATGACATCTTCGCTAACCAGTGAAAGGTGAGTAGGCAATTAACTAACGATAAACGATTAGCGTTAAACTAATGGTAAACTGACTTTTTTGTTCTAAGTAGTGGCGAAAATTTTCCAGAGTATTTCATATAATTTAAAAAATTAGTGTAATTTATTTGCGATACTGTTACTTGCATTACCATTCATTTTATGTCACCTCACTATTTCACCACACTTGTTGAAAGTTTATTTTTTTGAAAATTACTAAATTTGTGTTGAAAAGTATGTAGATAGCTGGCAAAAACAAGCACGTAGTGAGAAGCTTACAAAAAAAGATTTAATAAATTTCAACAATTTACCCATCTCTCTCTCCGCTACGCATACGCGTTCTGCACAAAACCCATCATCCCACTATCATCTGTCATCGAATCGCTATCATTCTATCATCTACCCTCCCGCAACGCTAGAAAACCCGCCATTTTGAAGGATTTCCATAACACATTGCGCGCCCGCAAGCCGCATAGAAACGCCATTGAATTACCGCCGCCCTCTCCCACGCGCCTTGCCGCCGCCAGCTTTGATGATTACGTTAGGAGTGCTTGCTTTGATAATCTCCACTTAATGGGCGCCAAATTGACTAAGGGCAATACCGTCACGAAGAAGCCGCCAAAGCGCCGTGTGTCACTGAATGCAATAAGTACGCGACACCCACAGCAGCAGCAGCAACACCAAGCTTCGAGCGAAGCAACACCACCGCCGCCACAATCGTCGCAATGCGAGAAGGTTCGCACACGCAATTACGATGAAAGGATGACGGTTGCCCATTCAGGTATAAATATCTCGCACACTTGGTAATTTTTTTTTTTGTTTAAGAAAAGCGGTTAGAAATGTCTTAGACGCTTGAGGAAAATAATGGTACCGATTTACGTGCTTAGGTCTATTAAAATTCTCTACCTAGGGCTGAAATATCATTGGCGGTGTTTATGGACTAAGAAAAAGGCAAAATCTATAAATTTTTAACACTCGAACTTAAATAGAAGGCTTTAAATCCGTCAAGAACTTAGCCGTTGCTCAGCCTTATCAGAGCTATTCCACCATACCTGCAGTTCAAAATAATTAATTATCCGGACTATTGCGATAATTTCTTTTACAGCCTCTGGATTCCATCTTCCGTTTGTTTGTTTTTATTTTCAATTCTAGATGCGAACTAAAATTAACTCACTTAAAATTTTGCCGACTGAACCAATTTTTGAAATTCAGTTTTGACTTTAGGGGTACCTAATCGGTCGGATCCATAAGGGCTATCACATGCGCCAGATTAGCCTCACCACGGAGACGAGATGCCCTGTCTGTGTGATCGCCCAACCTACACTGAAACACCGGAATTCAGCCATAGTCGAACTGTTTATTATTAGAAATTTGTCTAGCATTCTATAAGTCGAATACTTCAGTCTACATTAATTTAAATTCCGATAAAGAGGAAAGGACTAGAAAGAATTTGATGCCAGTTTTCGTCTCAGAAGGGTAGGTTGGATCTTCACAGAGACCATTTAGGCCCATAGCGTTACTAGACAAACTACCGAAGCCAATGTCTTTAATGAAAAGCGATGTTGAAGAACATCACAATCGTCTTAACTGCTCAGGGCCTTATAAAGTCTGAGAGAATATGCTTCACAATCTCCTCACTACTTTTGCATCTCTTGCAAATTTTATCACAGGTCAATGCCAATTTAAAAGCACGTGAAGCCAAGAGAACTGTTTGTACCCCAACTAATAGACTAGCGTGCCTCCTCTTATGCGATAAAATAAATTTTTCAATTTCGCTACCAGATACTCCACACATCGTTCTAGATACCTTGCAGTCGTGTGATTTGGTGCACAGCTTTGTGTATTGGTTCGGGTACAAGCTCCGGTTAATTGTTTGTTAGTGACATCGATGTATTTCCTCTAGACAGTTTTTGCTAAAGAGCACCTTCTTTACGGCGTACGTGGGCCTATTCTTTGTCAATAATTTTAGTGTGACCTAGAGCCCAGTACAGATGTGCATACCTTCTTAGCGGAGGATGCACGTTTTTAAAAGCTCGAGTTTAAAATTTTCTTGGACAAACTTTTTCAGGACAGTAATATTTGTTCCGCCTTCCCCAATCCTCCGAGCACCAGTTTATGATTACTGGGAGTCTTCCATCGCCTGGATTTCAGTTGGAGCTCGGACTCCAATCCTACATACTTGCAGCCTTTTCATTTCTCTACCACGCCCATTTCCTTAAGCTTTAACCTACTGCTTTCATCCACATTCATTCATATCACCTTCATCACCGCACAGAGCAAACAAGAGAGCAAAGCCTTGGCGACCCAAAAACTTTGTCTGCAACTTTGACATACACTGCGTGTCCTTTAAAGGCCATCAGTAAACCCATAACGCCACCGCGTCATACTCAAACACAGCCGACAAATAACGCAGACAGCAAGTCAAGAAATAAATTGAAGTCCAAAGTGCCATCGGAGCCAAGTTTAAGCGGAGACGCGGGCACTGTAATGACGGACCATGATGAGGAAGACGTGCAACGCGGCGAAGTACGTAACAACCAATCATATGAAATGCTGAAAATGCACTCACAGCAGCAGCAACAACAACTGAAACGCTACGCACCATCATCATCGCCCCTTACAGCACCCATGCAAATGCTACAGAGACGTCAGACCACTTTCGACAAGCTGCCCAACAACACGATTAACGTAACAACTGTCGAAACTGCGACCACCTCGTCGGCAACCACCTCACATACGAAATTGGATGTGAATGCCATACGTTCCTTGACGATATTTCGTCCCAAACGCAAAAAGTTAGTGCGTCAATCGATTTCGTCACATGCCGCACCAATGAAGGCGATCCCTTTGATAAAAGAAAGCATAGAGATTTTTACGATGCCATTAAAGTTGCCAAGCAATGGCGGTGAGCAGCTGAAAGACAACGACAGCCGTATATTGGCCGACGACGAGACAGAAGATGAGATTAAGGTGATAAAGGCGCCGCCGAAGTTGGCACGTGACAAGTCATTTGTGCTCAGGTTTGTATGAATACGTATGCAGAAGGCGAGGCCAGGAAGACTCATTTTAACTGTGATCCCAAATCATCTCAAGAATTTAGTGACAGTATCGCAAGATTATTTTTACTTTAACGTATTTATTATCGTACGCTTTCTAAACATTTTTACTTCACTAATTATAATATATTTTTAGCGGTCTGCCGTCCGACAAATACGATCCTTTCCTCTCGGCTAAGCGTCAACTGGAGGAGCTTTGCTCATCCTCTCCACCAAATAATCCCTCCTTTTCCTCAAATCTCCCGAAAACTTCCACACAAACTCCTTCGGCACCAGCTGGTTTGCCCGCTAAAATGTCCACTTCACTCACACTCAGCACTTTCACGCCCAACTCTAGTCCATTGACGACCAACTCACAGAACCAACGCACGCCGACGATACCTTCTGCGACTACTAACAAAACGCCATCGAACTTTCGACGTACATCTTCACTGCGCGGTCCGCGTCGTTCGCCGATGCTTTCATCACGCCCACTGTTCGCCCAAAATCATCGTCCTACCATACAACGTGGTCTCTCTGATGAAGGTCCAATCTCTACGAATTTTCTTAAACCGGAGGAATACGATGAGATGCCTGTACGTTCGGTGTGCGTGAACGATTACGCGGTGACGAAGAGTCCACGGGTCGCACGTCGCGATAATAGCCTCTCGAATCGCAAACAAAGTCTCAAACTCAATGTTCAAGGCGCGGCGACATCAGCAACCCCAGCGAATTCTAATACGAATACGCCCAATTGTACGACTATGTTGGGCGTAAACAGCTCCGATGAACTAATGCACTCGGCTGCCAAATATCTCTCGAAAACCGACTCACTAGCAGCTTTCCTCAAGTACGAAAAAGAATTGGAGAAACTCAATGCACAGGCGATGCTAGATGCCGCTAACGCTAACGCAAGCGCCAATAAGCCAACAGTCGAGCAAAGCGCGTCCAACTCGCCAGCCGTGAATCTCCACAATCCCGTCATAACTAAGGAATTCAAAGAGAAAAGCAACACTCTAAGCAAGCAAAACTCTGCTAAGAGCATCAAGGCAGAAGATATCGAACCTCCGGCACCAACTACAGGCGATGTGGAGCAGAATCACTCCCGCCAACACCTGCCAACTCCAGTGGCAAACACACCATCTACGCCTGAAGTTTGCCGATATGAAAAGGAGTATCCCAACTCGCAAAAGACACAGCCTCTCCGATTGGAGCGCATAACATTGCCTCAGGCCAGCTCGACGCCGATAACAAAAAAGCAGGCTACAAGGGCTTCTGTACAGGCCACGCCTACACAGTTGCCCATTGTGAACCAACCAGTTAACTTGAATGCGCTCCTTAGCGAATCCACCAAGCCTCCACTATCTATATCACTTAGCGCCTTCAGCAATGATACTAAGAACTCTTCGGGAAGTGAATACATTGATCCTAAATTAATTAATAAATGTGATAACCTGCCTGTTAATCTGAACTCTGTGCGCACACTAAAATCCATTGGCGATGGCAATGCAGAACGACGGCTGGACTTCTCTTCCTCCTCATCGGAGTGCTCTGCGCCGCAGACCGGCCCGATATCGCAACTAACCAAGCTGCTACCACTCACAAAATCAGCTGAAGTAAAAGATTTATCGACACAAACAACAGCTGCGATGACTACTGCCAGCCAGGCTATGGACATTCCCACTCGCCCGTCGACTGCTGACGAAGCACAACCAAATGCGCATCCGACGCTTAGTCAACGCAGCTCAGCTGAGGGTAGGAATTTATTGAATCGTAAGAAGCGCCTCGGACGCAATCACTTCCTCTACGATGCCTCGCCCGAGGCAGATGATTCCTGTTCAGCTGACGATGAAGCCAATCGTTCATCGGTTGAGTATTATGAATCCAAGTATCGTTCGTCGTATCAGCAGCAGCAGCAACAGGAACCGCAAACGTGTTTCGTGAACGCGCGCGGGCAATCTGCACCACTAAAGACGCCTCCCATCGTACCGCCTTTACCAATCTTCGACGACTTTGACTTTGAGGAATTTCTCTCGTCATTCGAGAATGACGATGAGCAATTTCCTCTCTTTAAGGACTGTAGAGAGTTTCTCTTGAATCGCACGTCGAATAAACAACGTTCGACGGTGACGCCGAATTCAATGTATACACAGAATAACAACAATAACAATACCAACCACTCTCAAAATCATGCAGCACAAACAACAGACTACAACAACAGCAATAACCACTTTCAATTTCCAAATCTCGCCTCATCCAACAAACACAGCCACCCCACGCTCCTACTAACTCCTTCTTCCCACAGATCCTGTGACGAATCACGTCCAAAGAGCAAAGAACCCTCACCCACATCTGACAGATACGAAGATCTAAGCCGCGTTACTGCGCAGAACGCCGTCTATGGCGACAGTGTGACCAACAAGCGACACTCCGATTCAGAGCACAAGAAACGCGAGATCTTCATCAGCATCGAGACGGAGCCGAACGAACATGGTCGCTCACCCATTTCACCAGACTCGCTGCGCAACATGGTCGGTAATCCACAAACTATGGTCGAGGTTGAAGTCGATGGCTGCGATAATAAGTTTAGCAAAATTAGCGATGATGATGAGCAGTTAAAAGGTCACGTCGAAGATATGATGCTGCGCTGCACTCCTTTCAACAGGGGCAATCACTTGCCCAACGTGCAGCTGAACAATGCCAAGAATTTAATACAGCGCATGCAAGATGACTTTCGACAAATGAGCGAAGAAGTGGGCGCCAATATACGCCAAGCAATGACCGGTCTCAATTCAGTCAATTCAGCAGCTGGCAATGCCGCAATGCTGTATGGCGGGAATAATATGGCCATGGGTGCTGGCTTGGGAGGACGTGGTGGTACGTATGTGCCGCGCAATAGCAATGCATCGCCACCGTCTCCACGACCGCCACCAACGGCATCAACAACAGTGAGTGCAACAGCGCCAATGTATGCGGTTTCTGAAGATGCAAGCGGTGATGCATGCGGCGACTCGGACGACATGAGCAGCCTAGATGGGTATCCAATATCATCAAAGTCGTCACGACGCGGTGTCGGCTCGAAGTTGAGCGCCGACTCTGCGTACGGGAGGTGAGTAAGCTATGAAATTTTACTAACATGATAGGACTTCTTCCCTGGGGACTCCAAACCGGAAGTTGACTTACATAGATTGAGTCAAGTAATCAAGCCCCTATTAAATGGCAGTTAAACTACTCTCTTAAAATTCATTGGAATAGTTTTCACGAAGCTTGTAATTTTCATAGAAATTTCGTCCGAGTAGAAAAAAAGGAAGATTAGGGTGCTCGCCATGTCTTCTATGGTTTCAGTGAGTTCGGCGTCATTTCGTGGTCCTTTTCGAAGTCTGCGTAGTTTTCTTTTACAGACTTTTTAAAGATAGCTCGGGCTGAAAGAGGTTTTACTGTTCGAATGAGCGCAAGTAATTTTCTGCTTTTTGGGCTACCAGCCACTCAACTTTTCCAACTCCCTTTGCTTCTCAACTTTCCAGAGTAAGTTCTCTGAGTGGAAAATTGTGGTCTTCCAACCTGTTTTAGTCAAGAATTTCTTCCTGGCCGAAAGGGGATCTCGTAATCTATGTCGATTTGAAATCTGCTGGCACCGCTAGTTTAGCTTGTAGTTGTAAAACCAAAGTCGAAAAGTGTCATCGTCGACTTTTTTTGAACGAGGTACCAGCAGGAATCCTTGCTCCAGGCATCATCACAAACTTTTATCGATGGCTGATGCGCGATGACTTGAAGCTTGAGAACTACCTGACAAGAATCTTTTCCTGAATGGTTTTATCTTTGAACTAGTGGAAGTATAAGTAATGAGATCTTAGAACTATGTCGACAGAAAAAGCTAAATAAAGGCCATTGCCCAGAACGAGCCTTGTTGTTTTCAGAAAAATGTTAAGACTTAAGTTAGAAACCAGTGTAAAGATTTTAAGGCGTTCAGCGTTTTCGGGGCTTGAGAGCTCAACTCATCTTAGAAGTTTTATAAGCCAGCAATGAGCTCCGAAAGCTACAATACCTGGAATGCTTGGCGCGGTGTTTCAACATAAAAACTCTGATGAAAAAATTAACTTTTCCCCCGATATCCTACAGCCTCTCACGGCAGAGATCCTCGGAGCTGTCAGTCACACCGCAACGCAGTGCAACGCGCAGTCGCCCCTCCACCAGCGCGTCGACCGCTACAAACACTACTCCTCTACCCAGCACAATGCACGCCGATGAGACTGCGCAGCGTCAACATAAGCTACAGCAACAACAATACCACTACCAACAACAGCAGCAGCAGCAGCAACAACAACAACTGCCACAACAAACAACACAATTATACAAATACGCGCCATTGAAGACGCGTCCGCGCCGCATAAGCGGCTCATCCAGCAGTGATAACTCTGATGAGGTGAATTGCAACATCAAATATAAGCAACAATTGCAGCAACAACAACAACAACAGCAGCAGCATGCCGGTATTGGCAACAAAAACAGCGGAAGCAACAGCAACAACAACTATATAAGCAGTCACTATGCGCAGCAACAGCAGCACAACAATCTAGTGGGCAATAGCAACAACAATCACAACAACTATGAGAGTTCACATAGCTCACCCACGACGATGACGGCCGCCGCCTCAACTGCAGCCGCGACACCCGATGATTTGCCAGCGTCTACGGCCAAGGGCCAACAATACAGTTCGAGCAGCTCGCTTTCGAGCACAAATGCAGCAATGAGCGCGAGTATGAAAATGTCCAAATTTTGCCATGAATGTGGCGCTAAATTTCTAGTCGAACAGGCTAAGTTTTGTATGGATTGTGGGGTTAGGCGTATCGTACTTTAGGCGCTTAAGGGGTAGCGAGTAGTTGAGAATATTTTTTTTGGCTAATTGGTCATACACATACTTACACATACATACTAGTGTACATATGCAAGTAACCAATTTTCAGCAAAAGGATAGAAAAAATGTAAATCTTAAAAATCAACCAAAATATATATAAAATCGAATTGAGGAAGAAACACCAAAAAGTAGCTACTAAAAAATGTGAAATATATATATTTCTTATTATTAGTCGCTAATTCCAACAATCATCATGCTTTTTTAATGCTTCTCTCATACGCTTCTGATATGCATTAGAAAGTTGATATGAAGCTTGTAAATCATTAGCGAACAACAACAAAATGTAATCAACACAAACACAGCGGTAATACTAATTTAATATTGACTGAAACCAAGCAATGTTAGAAACACAAATAAAGCAAATGAAGTTTACAAAAAAAAAATGGCAAAGCAAAAATATTTTTATGGAAAAAAATTTACTAAATATTTTAGAAAATATGTAGTACAATGCACAATAAAAGCCAAAATGGAGTAATTCACAAATAAATACGAGTGCATACACACATACGTACATATATTGCGGTAGTGCGCCTGTAAGTATGCTTAGTAACAATGGAAACCAAATTTTGTTTAGTCTGCACTTGTACTAATTTAATTGTATACAAAGAAATTAAAAATAATTTAATACGTAAAATAATATACACTTCAAAATAAAAAAATTACAGATATAATTTAATTTTTTTGAAAAATGTTAAACGTATTACATATATTTATACAGTTTTTGTTTTCATTTTATCCCAAGCCAACAAAAAGCAACAAATCTACATCTATCTACATTTAGGAAGTTTTAAAAATGTGTGTACTAAATTTAACTTTAAATAAAATTAATATTTTTAATTTATTACGTTTTGAAGTTATTGTGCTATAATTTTAATTTATTTGTTTTTTTTTAATTTCCTTACTGGTATCTGTAAATGATCAAATTCTGAAATTTCATAACTTTGATATCGTACGATAGGGTTTTCAATGTTTCTGTTACCTTACGATTACATTATCAATGACCGTACTAAATAAAAAATACTAAAATTGAGTACTGAAAACAAAATACGTAGTTTTAGTACTAAAAATCAAACCGCCAGGATTGATTACAAATTATCAAATATTAAATTTTAACACTAAAAATCAAATACTAGAACTTAGTACTAAACAAAAATTTAGTACTAGAAAAATAAATACCAAATTTTAGTACCAAAAGTCAAAATTTAAAATCGATTACCAACGGATAACAAATTTAGAAACCCCCGAATTTAATACTAAAGAAGTTGAGAATGTACTAAAACCAAAAACAAATGTTTGCCCCAATAGTAAATTTATAAAGTGACTATCAAACTTTAGTACTAAAATCTTGACTCAAAAATTGTAAAAGACAATCTAGCACCTTAGCAAGGCTACTACATTTTTACTACTAAAGTGTTTGAAATTTTTAGTACTAGTGTTAAAAATTTCCGAAAATCAATCATGAAGTAACAACTAAACTTATCAATTCAATACGCTACAAAATTGAAAAAAGTAACAAAAAAATAAAATTTAGCGGCAAAGCAAACGAGCCTTTGAATTTAGTACCAAATCAAAGCCTTAAAATTTAGAACCAAAAAAGTAAAATTCAGCAATGAGAAAATTTAGTAAAAAATAGTAATAAAATTTAGCAGAAAAGCAAGTGAGCTTAAAAATTTAATGGGAAAATTTAGTACTTAAGTACTTAATGTCTACGAAAAGCGAAAATCTGCTTTTCGCATCATTAATAGGTTAATAAAATGGGCACAACAGCTTTGGTACTAAAAACGGCCCACAAATTTTTTAGTAAAATAATTTGTATAGTAAAGTGTCCCAAAAAATTTTAATTCAAACAACTAAAGCAATTTAGCGCTTTATCAACATGTCGAAATTTAGCATCAAAGCGCACAAATACAGAAATTTTGGAACTAAAATCTAAAGTAATGCAAACAATATCTAACTAAAATATTGCACAGCGGTTAGAATTTTTGCACTTCAATAGGATACAAGCAAAATTTAGTACTCAAATTAAAATTTAACAAAAATTAGAAAAAAAATAGAGCTACATACGTTTAAAAAAAGTTTAATTTTGCGTATTAAATTTTAAACACTTCACTCTTCAAAAATTTAAGCAAAATTTAGTACTAGATTTTTTAACATTACTTTCAGTACAAAATTAAAAAAAAAAATAATAATTTTTAGGGCCTAAGTTTTGCTGTCGATGTCTTAAGAATTTGCTTTCTTTAGCAAGACTGAGCAGCAGCACACATGGCGCATGCGCAATATATGGAAAATGTGTGAAACTTAAAAAATAACATTTTTTAATTGGTAAAAAGCCAGTGTACGAACCAGACATTAATAGCAACGAAGAAAGAAAATCATTAGAACTAAAAAAGTCGAAGCGTAACTCATACATATCTCATGCGACTAATCAACTGCTAATTTAAAAAAAAAAACTAACTGTTGCGAAAAAATTAATTTTATTTTACACGAATTTTTCTAATTTTTTGTCTTAATTTTTCAGCAAAGCCCGCTGCAACTAAATTTAAGCGAAATCCATTGAAACTTTTTAAGTTTTAAGCAGCTGGAAAGAAAATAACAGCACACATCCATACATACATACACACACATATACCATGTGCATGCAAATGTGGATGAAGAATTCTACATAAAATTTAATTTAAAAACTGAGAAAAAATTTAGGATTAAGAATTTAATAAGTCTAACACTTTTTACCAAAAAATAAGTACATATATGTATACATAAATAATAAACTAAATATGTAGCACCGAGAAAAGCGAAAACGAATGTTAAAGGAAAAAATCTTGAGAATCTACCACTACCTACTAATAATGATTATTTTTTAAAACAATTTTAAAAACATATATATATGTATATTTAATATCATTTATATATACATTTACTCACTCGCCTTCTGCTCAATCGTACGCAATTCGATGTGCTTTAGCACACAAAGAACAATTTGCACTCGTAATATATCCAAATGTCACAAATCGTTTTTTTAAGTGTAATGCGTATTTACGACACCAATGCAAAAAAACGAATATAATGCCGATAACGGTATTTACTTATGCATAAAAAGGCAATTTAGCTTTGTGCAGTAGGGAATCTTAATAAAGATTAAAATAATATACATTTTTTTTTTTACTTTTTTCTTTAGCGGACGCTTTAATAGGTATGTATAGATTTAAAATTTATGATTTTATTGCCCGAATAAAATTGTATCATTTTAAATTTTAACAGGCTAATAAATTTAAAATTGATTGGTGTAACCTATTCTGTTAAACTGGACTTTGAAAACAAAAAAAAATTGTATGCGCTGAAATTTTAAAGCATACATATTTTTCACAAGAAATTGGTGCTAAGTAAAAAGATTTAGTACGCACTTTTCATTAAAAAAATTATTACTTACATATTACTAAAAAAAAAATAGTACATAATTTTCATTAAAAAATTAAAAAAAATGTGGTCAAAAAGAAATTTTAGTTTGTAGGAAATACAATCAACTTTTATAGATATGTGGTCATCTTTTTCTGGTCTGGGGAGTTTAACCCACCCCGTGTATCCGCCACTGATCAGCATACTTAATATTTTTAAAACTCAACTTTACAGCAATACTAAAAAATGGGAAATAGTAAAAATTTGTTTTTCACATTAAACTAAAAGATTTTTTTTGTGTACTAAAAATTCATACATGTACTTAGTAGGGGTTTCAGTAAAAAATTTTAGGATTCTACGAAAATAACGAAAAAATGCCAATTATGCCAACACGTTCCAGCACAAAATTTTTACACAAATTTAAAATCTTTTTTCCTGACTTCGATTTTAACTATGCATCGAAAACTTTTTTTAATTTTGATCAAAAACTTTTATAATTTATTTAAAAAGTATTTCCGGTTTTAATATGCTTAACAAAGTTTGTAGTACTAATGGTTTTAGTACAAAATAATTTAATACTAAATTTTATAACTATAATTAAAAAATAAATTGTGTGTAATACATGTAGGTCAAATGTTTAGTTCTACATTTTTAGTACTAAATTTTTTACAGATAAATACTTTTAGTACTAAATTATTATACCACTGTAATGCAATCACGGCAATTATACCAAAAAAACATATTTTTATAACAAAAAATGATAAGTATTTCATTTAAAATAATTTTTTCTAAATTTAATTATACCATTGTAATGCAAACGCGGCATTTATTACAATCAAAAAAATGTATAAAAAATGTATTAGTATATCATTTAAAATTCCTTTAACCAGGGATAACCCGGGCCTAAATAGTCATGGGCCTAAATGTTCCTATTAATGCCGAAAACTATGGAAAATTCCTATTTCGCTCTACCTATGTAGAAGTCATATTCGAAATCCATTTCCTATTTTTTAATTGACTCTTTCATTGTCCGATTGTTTTTAACCGACTTCACAAACAGGAAAAGGTTATCAATTCGTCGGAAAATTATTATTTTTTCCACAAACTATCAGCATTTCAATTGAAAACAAGTCACAAAATTTTTCTTCCAAACTTTCAAGCAATTGTTTGTTTTTTTTTTAATTTTCCTTGAATTTCCAACGCGTTTATAGAACATTCAAATTCCAAATTCGAAAAATGTTTGCGTCCGGTAGTAAAACGAAAGATGCCATTGTCCCTTCATCGACGACGCATAGACCATTAGCATCATCGACCATATTAACAAAAACAACCGCAACTACATTGACACAGCGCCGCATTAGCTCAACGGGTGGCGAAACGANACCACGCGGCGATGGCCGTAAAGTGATGTCCGGTATACCGAGCAATACAGCGGCGTGTGCCACCGCACGTCAGTTGCAACGGCAAGAGGCAGGAACAGCAGCAACGGCTGCAAAACAAAATGAAGTCCACACTAAGAAGGAAGAGAATTTGGAACAGCTTAATCATGCTGAAATCGGCATTCAGACTAATGAGCCGGAAATACTTAATCACGATTTGATCATTGGTGACATTAAATTGCTGCCACCGAAGGCAAGCATTATCGCAGAAATCGAACGGCAGCAAAATGAGACGCGAAAGAAGTTGCTACTGAAGGCGCAGCGTAAGTTTGAGGGTCACTCGGTGA